TTGACTCCGTGGATTATAAAGGGTGGAAGTGTAGGCCGCGGGCAATCGTAATTTTCCGGCGAAGAAATTGCGTATCAATCGTGTCCAGCTCGAGATACAGCGGGGTTCGCGCGATTTCATATGGAATCCGTCGATCGCGCAAGAGCGGGGCGGGCTTGCATAATTTACCGCGGAGAATTAATTAGCGACGAGGAAAGTACCGCCGCTATATTTAACGTTACCGTACTAATTTTATTAAAGCGACCGAGACACCCCGCGAGAGGCGATTCTCTTCTCGGGACTTTCGCGTGCGCTGATGACGCGGAAAGAACGGTAATTCGCGAGTCGAGAATGGGCCACCGTTAGCAGCGATGATCGGGTGTATGATGAAATCAGGCTGCCACGAAATCGGAACCTTTGGCTTCTGGAACTATGAACGAAATATACGCTGTGTTGATTTTAAGGATCAACGAAACTCGTGTGATTAGGGAGTGTGAAGTAGATCAAGAGTGAGGATGGATCGACTGGGAGACGCTGTTAACCCTTGTGTGGAAAATCAAAATATTCAATTAAAATTATCAATCTTCTATTAGTCAGAAATGTGATTCTTCTAGTATCGGAAAGTTCCTCAATCGGAACATTTATGTCTTCCCATTAGTTCGGATCAGGAGGCTTCACTGTATTAGGAATATCAGTCAGATTATGGTAACAATTTGCTGCTAGGTGGAACTTACGTCAACAGGTAAGTGTCCTCCATATTTTATTTTCGAATTTTGAAAAATAGCCATGGTAAGAAGAGAGATTCTGTCGGTGCTGTTTGAGGTGCTAATTTCTAAATTTCTCGTGCTTATTACTTAACCACTCAAGCCAAATTCTAAAACCTGCTGCCGTTTATGATTCCGCTAGATTTACTGTCTTACTTTTACTGCCGATAAAACATACGATCGAGCACATTAATGCCTTTCAGGTCAAAACTTCTATGTATAACGTTCCACGTGTTTCCTTGAACTGCTGGGCCCTCATCCGTGTTCGCTGCTGTTAGAATCGTGCGGATTGACCTACCTTAATGGTAGTAAAAGTGGATGAGGCTCAGTAGTGTACAAGAATACACGAAAAGCTGTCGACGTGGCAAACTTTAAATTTTCAAATAAACTTTTCAAGCAAATCGAACATTTAGATCTAGAGTATTCTAAGCATTTATCGTTAATGTGACTATGCAAAACGTAATACAGTACAAATTTGCGAAAAGATAAGTATAAATTTCACTTTACTTTAAACCCAACGAATCCTTTAATAAAGACAACTAACCTCTGACATCATTTCAATTGGGTAAATTACTCTACAGAAATTTTAATTTACCTATTAATACATTAATGGGTAAACTGTTATTTGTCTGTACACCTAATATTAGCAGGAATCGCTGCAAACCCGCGGCGTTTCGTTGACGTCGATTGAAAAACTCGGCCACCATCGACAATTAGAATGAAAAATTAATGACGGGTGATGATCAAAAGTGAATGGAACTGATCGCAACGCGTGTACACAGACGTGGGTCACGCCGGAGTATCAGGCCGTTAATTTCAAATAAACGGAAAAGCACGTTCACCATGCGACTTTCACTGTCGGCCCGCCGGCAAGGAGAGAACACTGGAATTGTTGGTAAAGACCGACGAATTGCGGTAATAGTATCTGCCCGCGAGAAACTTTGCTCACCTCTGGATGGTAATCATGCCCGGCGAGAGGTCGTAATTTTCTTAAAAACTTTCGGCTAATCGCGTCAGTTAAATATCATTTAAAGAAGAGGAAAGAATTTAATGATAAAATTATTGCGGCACGAGCGACGCGCTCCAGAGATCGCAAGTAGTGTTGGGTCATCCCGTAAGTAACGCGGCATTTCGGTATGTATGTTAATCAGAGCAAATTTAAACTTTCCTAGATTAGTTTCGAAGAACAGGCACTAGACGGAAATTTGTGTATTCTTGTTATCGATTTGAAATGACTAAAGATGAAATAGAAATTTTATTTCATATACGCATTTTAATCACTGCTTAACGAACATAAAATCCTGCTAAACACATGAGCAATCTTTTGAAATCCAAAGTCTGGGAACAAAACTCCCAATTATGTATATCAGCATATCAAATTCTCTAACATATGTTCCACACTCTGTCAGATTTTTTACAGAATTCTTGCATGCTGTTAAATAGAGAAAATAGAGGAAAACCGGATTATCTGAATTTTCCCTATTACTACCTTTCTGGTAGGGATAAAGGGTTGAAAATTGATGCAGACTGTTTTCGGTAACTTATTGATCCAATTCCATAAACTCATTCTTCCTAAACGAATGTGATTTTATAAACAACAAACCACGGAATATAACGCAAAGCTAATTAAACCGTACAAAAAACATTCTTTATTCAAAACCAATTACAAAGTCGCTCCTCAGATGAACAAGTAAATAAGCCAACATCGTGAATCACTGAATAAAAATGCTACTACGAGATCCACCGATTATTTCCAGCAGTGTAATAACAATCGCAGGTGAAATGTAGAAATCATTAAGCGCGTATCAGGGTGTCTAATCGTATTTATTCAAGGTGGGGATTGGGAGTAATTTGTAGTAATCCGATAAACAAGGATACGTGCGTGTATACATTATTCGCGAGCGTGCACACAAGGATCAAGTTAAGCAGAGAGAACTCGGCGTTACATTGCAACCTCCGACCCAGATAAAGAATGCTTCAAGTGTGTACTCGTTGCAGGTGAATGCACCCGGCGCGGAAGAGACCAGCTTCGGCCGCGAGTGTGTTCAGAAAATGGTGCAAATACCGGACCGGCGAACACCGAATATCTCGTGGATTATTCATATCCGCGTGGCTGATTGTCGTATAAATTCCGAGACGTTTTCGTTTGCCACGCTGATGAATCAACGTTTACACAGACTCCGTGGATCGATGGAACTTTTCAAAACAAGATCATTCCGTATTAAATGCATACTCAGCCAGCGTATCGGTGTAAATTGGCATCTTAATACCAATCGGCTCTTTTATCGCCCCGGGCTCGGGAACTAGAAATAGTAAATTTGACTGGTGTTATTCGCCAACTAAAATTCCGTTCTCTCTCAAAAAATCCTCGTTACGTACAAATTGTCTATTTAGTTAGGAAACAATTTACATTATCGCCGGTATAAGTACTTTATGCACGATATTTATTAGAGTTAAATTTTGCTAGACTTCTGTTTCACGTAATAATCACGTCTAGCATCAATGAACAGAAGCGATTGAGAGAGAGAAAAAAGAAGAGTGAAAAGAAAACGGGAACGTACAATTTCCCGCGTTCCCACCCCGCGTAAGTATACGGTAGATAGGCGATCTGCATATTTGCAACCGAATAATGGCAAGAAATGATGCAGCACGATGCATTGAACCAAAGGTGTAACAGGTATGCGAAGGCGGTTTTTCCGCGAGTGTGGAGGGGAGGGAGCACAGTCAAGGCAAAAGTAGGGTAAATGTATCCACGTAAGCACCACGGCTCTCCTTTGGAGATCAATCAGAGCGAGTTAAGAATACATACTGCGGTCGTTCGAACACGATTCAAGAAAAATTCATGAATGAAATTGACAGCGCGAAAATGGTCCCTTTTTACGTTGACTCGCCTCATCTTGAGGATGCAGGTAAACTAAAACTAATCCGTTATAATTGGGGCATGAAATACATCTAATTCTAGGTAATACTCTAGGTGAAATAGTTGGACTACGTTGTCCTGTCCCCAAACAACTTTACTGCTTAATACTTTTGAACAGGTTCAATTAAACTATTGAATGAAAGAGAAGCTGTAGTAATAGTTAAGAAATTTTATAGCTGTCACTTTATGTGATTTACGTAACACTTTATACGGCTTATTCAATGAAACCATTTAAATACAACTCTACAGGATGGTCCACGCAAGTGGGACAAGTAATATTTTTTCCTGTTTGTATTAAGCAAGAAATGGAGAACAAAATCGAATGGTTGCAAAAGATCCACATTCATATAAGGTAATCCACGTATGTGGAATACGCAGTTTTTTTTTTAAAGAAGACGTATATATTTTTGCATAAATTAAGTCCTCCCATACTTTTTTGTTGCAAAAAAGGTAATAAAGTCTGTTACTCGCAAGTTGAGTCACGAGAAATTTCTTCTATTTAAATTCGAACTCATTAAATCACTCAACTTTTTCCTCCATGACTTTTTTCCAAATGACAGTCAGAAACAGGGTATGACCTGTCCCAGCTACTCGGACCGCTCCATACGTTACCGTTAAAAACACCACTACATTTCTAGGTGACAGTTTATCCTTGATACATGATTTATCCCGCTATCACCCCCCTCTTACCGTTCCATAAAAACGATCCGCTAATTATTTCGAGCACTACAATTTACGCCGCGTCGCGTTCCCAGGATATTACTACTTGATTCGTTGATCCGCTGCGCGACAACGGCGGCCGATACGTATGGCGCGTAACGATCGAGAAACACCGGAAGCGAGAACGCAGTGTTCCTTTTTTTTCATCCGTGTTCCGTTAGCAGTTTAATGACTGTGTTGGACAATTCCTATCCCCGATTTAATTCGCTCGTCACACACACACACACACGCGGGAATTTATTCTACCAGGGGAAACGAGCGGACCGTGCAAAACGGAAAAGGTCAAAGTGGAGCAGGATGAACGCCTGTTCTCGAACCACCCGTCGACTGACTGTCAGTGGCAAGGAGACCGAAACACGAAAACCCACGATGAGCCGTGTCCGGTGCGCGTTTAAGGTCAATGGACGGGAGCAACCGAACGAACAACGCGCGTCTCGTACACGTACGAATGCATTTACAAGCGTGCGAAGGTAAATGGCGAACCGAGCACGACAGCCTCGCGACATACCATAGCTGTCACACGCTTGTCAATCGTCGCGAACTGGCTGGCGGTGGACGTTTCGATCTGCGCGCGCCTTTTTCGACCGAAGTTAAGTAAAACATCGTTTACTACTCACCGAGAATCGCCTGGAGGGTCTGCTCGTCCCCGTCCCCGATGACATCCATACCTCCGTTATTAATCGGACCCCTGAGATCTTCCGGGCCCGATCAGCGGGCCCCATTTTGTCTCCAGGCTACGATGTCACTCGACACGACGTCCCACATAGTACACAACATTTCATGTAATTCTCTTCCGTTCTTTTTTCTCTCTTTCTCCCTGTCTGTCTGTCTTTCTTTGTTCGTTTTTTCACTGTCTGTTATTATACTCCCACTCTGTCTTTCCTTTGAAAATCACGAACGATACGTTTTACGATGCTACTTCCGTGTGACCACTATGTTTCCCCGTGCATACGAGCGCAGCGACACACTCGATCTACGATCGATTCTCACCGAGAATCGGCACGGTGAATATCGACGATAACGAGACCATCGCGAGAGGTCGTAAAATCAAACAAATGAAGAGAAAAAAAGGAATCTGTAACCCGTGCCGAAGGAAACGCGCGTGCACTCCCCGAGAACACTTCGACTTTTCCTACGGGTTTTTTTCTCGTTCCGCAGAAACGATTTCTCTGTGTATTATCTACCGCTGGCTCGCCACACCAGGAGCCGTATAGAATCCCGAGGCGCGGACTAAACTTGAGCTCCGTACCGACACCACACGCGCACGGAATGTAATACATGCAAACGCGCCCCGTGCATGTCGCGCCGAGAACGAGCGGGGTCACGTGACACGTTCCAGTCTCCTCCGGGCCGAGTTTGAAAGTCGCGCGCGAGCTCCGCCGCTCGTGAAAATATCGACTGTTTCGCGGGAAAATATATTCGGATTTCGTGTTCGTCGCGTGTATATCGTTATTGTTACTTTCGCTATGGATATCCATCGACAGATTTCGACAACTCGTTGGATATATTTCGGAAATTTGAATGCAACGGTGGGCCTCGGTCGAAGAAGTAGTTGCTGATACAAGATGGCCGTGCCGAGGTTCAACTGACGCGGTAAATCGAAATGGATGGATCTATCGGATTGAAACGTAAGACCACTCCGTTGCTGCATTTCCTCTGGAACATGTGAGTAACCTTTTTGTTTATCAATTATGTATTTATTTCTATTGTGTATACTATTTGCGCATGTTCAAATGTTTAAAGACAATTTGCACATGTCCTGCGAAAATGTACGAATAGAAAGATGTTTTATTAAATAGACAATAGAGTTAGGTTTTATTTGAATGGAACATTCTGATAATGATTATTCAGATGATATGTTCACTCGTTTTATTGGCAATTGCTTTCAAATACTCTTACATTACTTTACATGTCCTTGTTTAACCGGTATTTTTATTGCCTCATCTCGCTTCCACAATGGCGTTTGTATGGTAGTGTGGTTATATTTCAGATTAATCCAATAATTAGCTAATATGGTAAATAATTCGCAACAAAGAGTATAAAAATATTGCATGGGTACTATAAACATTTATTACGTCACATAAGTACAATTGAACACCAAAGGGCTTCTAAATTATTATTATTATTGTTGTTACGTTATTAATACGTTTACATTAAAGTCGCTTAAGGCTTTACATACTCATAAATAATTTACTCTTGCTTTGCTTACACAAATACATATTCTCTTAAATATATTTTACTCTCTGTACAACGTATGTACAAGTATATAGTATATATGTATACATATCACAATCTTCCGCTCAAAATTCATACGTTCATACCGCATACAAGATAGAACTTTGAGGCATTTCATATACCCACAATTCGACTGAAAAAGGAAACTGTTACAACACGATTCTTCCAGTGAATAGATTGATTACGTCTGAAATAACAACTGTCTTGAGTACGGCACATCCATTGTTCACGATAGCTCGTTTATCGAAATGCATATAGAGTCAATTATACAAAACAAATTAATATTCAGAAAATAATCGTTAACAATCGAAAATTCTGCTAAGTCTGCAATGTATCCCTTTAGCCTTTACAATACATCATAATTAGTAAATACTAATAACAACTTTGGTATTATTAGAATGTTGAAATCTATAGCTCGATAAAATTCACTTGCTCAATAAAGGAAATTTCAGCTGAGAAACGTAATCGTTTGGCTATTACCATTCGTGCTAACAGAGACGTTTTCGTCAGAATTTGTTTAAAGCTTTAATAACACTTATTGTCAGCTACAGACTAATCTTCCAACTGAACGAACCAATTGCTAATCATTTACAAAATCAGCAGTTTCCTTCAATGTAAATTCACATTACACCAGAATCTTTTTAAACGTTAATTCGAAATAGTAAATAGAATAAATAATCAGATTTGTACATAATACTTGAAGAAAACGCTGTACAGTGACTTCAATCGTGATTTAATATATCAGGAATAAAAACTTGCACTATTCATAAAATTTTCAGGTGAATGAACCCTCATTATTGGAATTACTTTTTCCTTTTTTTAAGTGAAACCAGTATTTTTATGACTGTAATAGTACCTCATGAATTTCGCTGTGTGTTACTGAAGCACATTATTTCTAGTTAGATTTATAACTTATATAATAAACGTATTGTACTACCTGCATTCAGTCTTTATTGATAAATTAAAGGTCATGGAAATCATTGTGCACGTTAAACTGTAAAATTAACTAGGAACTACAATTAGGATAAAAATATTTAATTGATCTGGGTCCCAATTTTATAATGCTTGGATCTGCCTTTCTGCATTCGAGATTTTATCATTCCAATAAAATTATTATTTACCATCAGCATTAATATCTGTAAGTGTGTATATAGATATTAGGTAGCTGTGTTAATTTTGCAATATATTGCTGCATCGAGAAGCCAAGGAAAAATTCTTTAAATTGTAGAAAGTACTAGTTTTCTCAGAATACTATATATTTAGTTGCAAGTGTTTTAACAGACAAATCTAACTTCTGACACATAGAGAATGCATAAAAATCTGAACTAATGTTCAGTCTAAACCCTGATCTCTCGTTTTGCAGGTCAAATTGTAGTATATCATTTTTATATGTCGAACAGTTTTAATTCCGTTTAAGAATAGTAGCATATTTCATTTAATCATCTCCCTTGAGCTTTGTGACTGATATTAATTGTCAACGAATTGTCATGGCAGTATAGAAATGGCAGCTTATTAAGTGAGACGAAACTCATCCTTAAACAGGTTGAAAACAGACAAGACATCTGTTGGTCTTGACAGATTGAGATTCTCTTCATAGTGTTCCTTTCGTGGTAGAGGTATTCATACCTGGACGAAATAACATGTTCCAGACAATACCTCACAATCGATTCGCGAACCTTCCTGTAGTAACGCAGGTGAATCTTTCTTCCAATGAATTCTGATCAATCCCCATGGTCACTTCTTAGTCGCGTCAATCTCCTACACTCGACGATTTACCACCGTCCAGCGTTTGTTCATACAAACAAAGTGCACGATGAACAAACTCATACTGCTCAGCTGTTTGAACCATACCTCCTCTATCGTACCTAAAATAGAATAAATATGTCACTAAGTAGGTTCAGCATCTCAATAATTTGAAATAGTAAACCAATGCTGTCCATGTAAGAAACTTTTAAACGGAGTATCTCCCCCCCCCCCCTACACGTAGCGTATTGTAAAAAAAGTTGAATTTTATTTAGAACACATTTTCATACCTCATTTGACATAAAATTCCTAAAACATCCACGTTTCCATCCCGCAATAGTTGTGTCATTCCCGTTGCTAAAGCTATGAAACATCCAGTCCGTCCAATTCCTGCGCTACAGTGAACAACAACAGGTCCTGGTAGAGTGTTTACTTCCGCTGCTAAACTAACCAAAGTATCCGCAACTTCAGGGACTGCATGGTCCGGCCATGAGTCATACCTACAACCAATTAACAATTTTGCATTGACACATTAGAACTATCGTGTTTCTTCTTTGATTGTCGTAGACTTAGAAACATATGATGAGGATAACAAAGCGACAGTTAATAAACTGCGATAACTAGAGAAGCATTAGTATAAAATACTCTAATAAATATAGAAATATTGGTATTACATACCAATAATGCTGCACGTGTCTTCTTTCCCCTTCAAATCTAAGTTCTAAATCCCTGACTGTATAACCGTCCCTGGTGTCAATAGAAGTAGCGGTAATAGTGAAAGGTCCAGCTTGTATACGACTGTTTTTATCCAGCGGAAAATATGCTTCGCATTTGGTTTTAGCAGCTTCGTGTAGCTTTGTCATCATAACGACGACAGGAACTTTCTCTGACCAGACCATTTTCCAGAAGTCAGCTACTGTCTGAGCCAATGGTCCCTGTGTTGCAATGTAGCGTGCATCTTCTCCATCGTATCCCTATTAAAATAAACATATGATTTAGAGTATTCTATAGCAAGAAATTTGAAATTATAATGAATGTTGTTTTCTCCCATACATACCCGAATGAAATTGGCATTGATGTAGCTAGAAAGAGGATCATCGGAAGAACCTGGTAGAACCACTCTCGACTGTGGATTTGGTAACACGGAACAGTATCTATTTTTCGACCAAGATCCACAAATATCTAGTTCCTCGGGAAAATTTAATGGAACTTCCCAGAATTCTTTATGAAGCGATGACGGATCACTGACCGCCTTCTTTAGTTGAGATCTCGATAAGACATTTCCAGCGCTCAACAAAAATTCTTCTGCGGTACATTCGCGTGTAGGTGTAACTACGTGTGGTGGACTTTCAGGAGGAGGTGCCAATTCTATAGTCAAGCTTGCGCTTGAACCGCGTCGTTCGAGTAATCCTTTAGCTTTTATCCGTATAGGTTCTGGTCTACGTTCTGGTGTTGCCACTGACATTACCTATAAATAACAAATTATTCATGATAATATCCACGCTTTACAATTCTCTATTTCATCTTGTCCTTCATCTGTTGGGATATATACCTCTGGTAAACCAGTGGCCTGAGTAACTGGTCGGACAGATTGAACAGATACAGATGGTTTCACTGTAGGTTGGTGAACCCATTGGCCCTCAACAGATACTTTTGTAGATTTAGTAGGCTTCTCTGAATGACAGACAGTACCTTCCTCTACCAAACCTCTCCTATCACCATCCTCTGCATCCTTTTCACGCGACATTTGTTTTCTTAGCCATAACAAAATCTAAATTTGAAAAATTGGTGTTATAGATTATTTTACTCGACAAGACATATTAAAGCTTCTTAAGACCAAAATCTTACCAAGTATGTAAAGAGAATAGCACCAGCGATGGCACAAAGTGCTATAAAGAGCGATAACTGCCAGTCTAGCCATGATAAAGTTGCAGTGGAGTGTACCTCCTGTCCTGCACGGGTACTGAGTTGAGCTGCTTGCAAATCCATTCCAGCATCGTCCAGTCCCGTTATGGACTGAGGAATCCTGTATGCAAACAATTGATATTCAATTTGACATCCAATCAATTATAAATGTACATCTAATATGATGTTTCAATAACATACCTGTGATGAGATCGAGCAGACATTCCCTCTGTAGATGGCAGTAAAGGGATAGGTAGCACTGTGTCTGTGTGCCACCTTTGTTCAGTAATTAAATAAAACTTCTCCAAAAGATCTGAATTATCGTCATTGCTTGAGATGTCATAATAGTTTAAGTCATTCACATAATGATTAGTCAATGGAGTATTAGTACCTCCTGCAACACAAATGAAATAAAGACTGTGAGTTTAGTTCATAACAAATCAAATCTATTCATACAATTCACTAAGATTTAATTTCAATAGAAAAAAAGAATTAACAAAATAATTTCACAGCTGCGTTTAATACTGTCAAGCACAGTATACTAACAAATAAACTATTTATCAAGTGCATAATTTTGCACAGACGTTCACACATACACACACACAACCAAATACCAATCATCACAAAAAAAAACAAAAATATTTTTTTCCAAGCCACGGCAATATACTGATCACGTTACACGTGGACGTGGATCCAATTAAATCAAAACCGAATACCGTTACACATTTTTTTACCGCAACACCGAACACATTCCCCGTTGTCCCTGATGAGAACGTAGCCCGGCCGACGGTGCCACCGTTCGTGGTTCTAACCGTCGGAAATAGATCCTCGTGAATCGGAGGAAACAGCTTCCGTGCGGTTGCACAGGAAGTAAACATCGCGCGTTAATTTTATGAACGGAACAACTCGGAAATTCGGAAGCAGGGATGGATGACAGGGGTGACGGGCAGATGTAGTATACCCCGATTCCGAGGAGTGCATGTGACAAGTGGATGAATAGCATCTCGTTCCAGTCACCAACACACACATACACATCGCACACACGTGCGACGTGTCGCGCGATATGTCTCCACGTACACGCGGCTCGCATTTACACACAAACACGAAGAAAACAACGTACACACACATGCAAATAAACTACATCCTGTTTCGCGAGCGCGTGTGCGGTCTGTGTATGTGTGTGTGCACACGCGGCGGTTAACAGATTCGAAGAGCACCACCACTGTACGAAGAGCGGACGACGAGACGGTTTGAACGGTTTGATCGATACCTTTAGCGAATAGCACGCACGACAGGACCACGAGGTGGATCGTGTTCTCCTGCGCGAACCGTGGCCCGCGGTTTGAAACTAGCGGCTGCGTGGACGTGTAAACAGCCATGTTGAGAGAGAGATATTCCGTTGGCAGCGAACCAGCCGGATCCCGTCTGCGCAAGCCTTTCGTTCGAACTGCCGAAGCCGAAGACGCCGTTCGTGTACCCTGACCTGGGCTTCGGTTCGGCTCGGCCTTGCACTCCCGGTTACCGTACGGGAGGAAATACCGGCCAATCGGAGCGAAGCCGCACGCAACCGACGTCCAATCCCGGGGACGGTTTACTACCAGTACCGGGAATTTGGCGGGAGGGACTCAAGGTGAATGAAAGCGAAGCACGTGCAAACTAATGATAGTAAAACGCATTCGGATTCAAGTTTTACGTTTGCCCATTGAGACCAAGCCCCGAGAAGGTTATTCCGTTTCGGGCGACGAATGCATGCTCGTTTCGAGTCATTTAGCCAGACGACGACGCGTACACGTACACGCGTGTTCTCACGCGGGACGATGTCACGCCCGCTAAACGGAAATGTACCATTTTTACGGCCACTATACCGAGAAGTTTTTTTTCCTTCGCTCTTACGGACGCGTGAAAGAATTTGTCGTAGACCATTCCATGTGAACCGATCAATTTGAATATACTGTGTACGTTTTTATTCGATTAATTTGACAGTATCCAGCCAAGCAAAACGGTTGCAATAGTAGTTGCAAGAATATAAGACAAATAAGGACGAAATGGAAAATAAAATGTATAAAATAGGAAGATATGTACAACTTAAGTAACTGCACAAGTAATCTGATAAATTACGGATCATCTTTCGTAATTAAGTATTTCTTATATGTAGTGTGCATTCTACAGTTGTGGATGCACTATTTGTTTTGACACCAAAAGTTACACCAAATCAATTGTATCAAATTGAAACTTTACTATTTTAAAGCTCAATCCATATGTACTTAAACTTCATAGAATATCATTTCTGATAAGCACTATTGTTCAGTAAAGGGGGTCATTAAAAAAGGTAAACAATAATTAAAAATACTTTCGAGGAATAAATGTTCCAAAATTCCTCTAGCATCAAACCATACATAGCCGACGATCAGTGAAAGAATAACTCTCGGAATGATATGCTCGCGATTATTGGATTGCCGAAGGAACGCAGCGAAAGAAAGAAGAACGATACGAACGTCTCAGCATTGTCTAATCGCATGGACGTTTATGGGTCACGGATACCCGTCACGGTGGTTAAACATTAAGAGAAATATTTTTACGTCGCGCTGACGCATCTCGGGGTTGAATCATCGGTCGTGCGTAGCTCAGCGATATGAAATTAAAGTTGAAAAGCATAAAAAAAAAAAAATACAACACCGTTGAAGAATCGTTAGCCGTTGATTGAGTTCGAATTACCGTGTACTAAAATACCATCGAAGCACGGCCTCATGTTTGCGCAAGTGTGACTCCCGTACTTTTCCATCCGGAATTTGTAAAACGATCGTAGCTCCTCGTTGGTTTTCAGGCAGTTTACGGCCTGGCCAATTAATTAATATTTAACCGCTGACGAAACAATCTCCGGTTATCTCGCAACCACCAGTGTGTTGGAAAGAACCACTACTACGGTATTCACCGAGATTCTTGGCCGTGTCGAACAAATTAGCTTACCCTTTATCGACCATTCGATTGGACATTGTTCCGTGCTGGAACGAAAACCTAACCCCCCCCTGTAAACCGTCTTACGCGTTTCTCAAGAATATCTCGGTGATTCAGAAAACCGGATGTTGCCCATTCATCCCTGCCATATGCCCGACCGTCCAATATTCGCTCTGTCGAATCATTCTTCCTCTTCTGTTTATGTTTCGTCTATCTTCTTCCCTCGCGAAAAGAGGCGATCAGCGAATTTTAAACGATCCCGTGGAAGATTCTACTTAATTTCTTCATTTTCACCTTGTCAATCATGTCGACGATACGTATGTTTATTTTTGTTTTTCAATAATGGTAATTCAACGTCTTTTCGTTTTTTTTATTGCTCAGTTGGACGATCTTTTTGTATATGTATTGTATAGATAAGCTTTTTCTCTGATGATAGTGTTGTTGAACGTTGCCGTTCTGTTATACAATATTTCTACTGTATTTCTCGCAACGCCGACGTTCAATGAACTCTCTCATTTCTCCGAAGCTACAACACGTCGTCGCTTACCGATGCCTGTCACACTACAATGGTAACCGGCTATCATTGTCGTAGCAGCCGCTGAAAAATCAATAAGCACCGTACCGGAACCGAAACACCCCGCGGTGCGTTTCCCATTTTCTCTAAATTCGTGAATCCCTTTGTCGAGGCCCAGTCATGGCCGAGCGAAGCCAGTCGGACGCGATACCGGGCAGAAACTATTTTATCTCCATCGGCCGGCGCGGCGGGCCGAACATGTGATAATAGCGTCAGCGGTTGATAGAATCCATGGCAGCACGATTTCAATTTAAAATGTATGTTGCTCGAGGTGCACTCGACATTTCAATCGCGACAATTTCAAATTTCATAACACTGTGTACATATTCCTTTCGAGGTACGTAATTGTCTCTTTCGCGAGAACACGTCCATCAGACAGTGTAAAATATCTTAATATCACTTGAATCATTTATAACTATTTCTTATTTTTACAGAAAAATTAGTATATTATTTTTTTAAATGTTACAATGTCGTCACGATTACACGTTATGAAAGAGGATAGTTCAGTGGATTATTAGCCACCAAGACGGAAAAATCCTCACTCGGAGAGGAACTTTCACGAAAATCGACGAGCGTAGATCCGCACGAATCGTAGGGCAGTCGAGCCACTGACTAAATTAGAGCCTCCATTCACCCTTCTGAGGGAGCTTGTGTGCTTTCGTAGGGCGCACGCAGCCGGACAACGCACTTGCGTAAAATTGCGAGACGCCGATTGGTCTTCGAGCGTGGATCCCGTGGGTGGTGCCGGGGTGTTTTGCAAGGCACACGGCTTCGAAATGTATTATAGGGACGGGGGGGGGGAGAGGAGGGCAAAGACAGTCGCACAAAAAGTTATTGTGCTCTCGAGAACACTGAACTGAAACTAATTGGACGATTCAGTAACTTTGGTAAGTACTCACCACCCACGGTCATGTCAAATCGTATATTTTTCTCTTAAAGGTATCCTTTCATTATTATAAAAATACGTAAATTGCAAACAGTAAATAGACTTTAAATCTTGATAGGATTTTATGTAAGTGCTGATTAGTATAATAATTTTGTTTCTCTGATTGTAAAAAACACTTCGTTTGTGTTGCTTAGTATGAAAATAAAATATATATCTTTAAATAACAAAATTAATTTTTTTGAAGAATACCGAAATGTTTAAAGACATGATTAAATTAGTATAGTAATCTACCTAGTTAGGATTAGTCATTTATTACGTAGCATTAGTTGCATTCGTCAGAAATCTGTTTAGATTCTTATTGCATTGTTAGTCAATCTTATCTATGTATATATAATCACGATTCCGCAATCGCTTCCTTTTTGAATCACAGATATTGCCAGCTGTACATACTTGATGCAATGTGTATTTTATCGAAAAGAATCGATCGTTCGGATCAACTGATCAGCGATAAAAATATTATTTAAGGTTTACTCGAATACACACGCGGATTCTAAACACTTCAAGCAGACATTAAAGATAAGAATGAAAGTATTGACTGTATTCAAGATTTCATAAGTGGTTAAGCCTCATTTCCTCAAATACTTTTTATTAACGCGTAACTGTAAATAAGTACTACAGCTAATATATATTTAAATAATGTCAGTAAACACTGTTAGTAAATAAAAAGACCAAAAAGAAGAATGAATGAACAAGCAATAAGAATGTTACTGTGAATGTTATGAAAAAATTTAACAGAATTTAGTCCTCCATTGTCACACTGGGTCAAATTGACCCAAGAATTGACTTTGAAGTAAAATATCTTTGAGGCATCATTGAAAATGGTACTACTGGAGTCATGTAGTACTAATTTCACGTATCCTAAAAAAATTTGTTTTCAGAATTTTTGTTTCAAACATTTTTTTAAACATAATGAAGTTTTCAACGTTACTGTTTAACTGTGAAAATATATACTACAACGTTCAAATTTCATCTCGGAATTTTTGGCGACTTAGTGTAACAAATTATTTGTAAACAACAGCTGATTTGAATATTGGCTTGGGTCAAATTGACCTAATGTGACAACTACTTTTGAAACCAGGAGATTAATATTACGGAAATTAATATTAAATTAACAACAGAGAGTTAATATTATTATTAATAACGCATTAAAACACCTAGTACAGGGATTAAAATTCTGTTCAATTTTCATTTTCATACATTAGTATCAAAAATTATAATTCTGCATAAACATCCGCGGTCTAATGACCATAGTCCCAAGTATGTGCAATTCTTCCTCTAACACTGTATACGTGTATAACGAGGTGTAGCACGGATAAGTAGCTAGTCAAAGGATTTCACGACTCGCACGTCTGGATAGGCACATCTACAATGTTCAGTGAGTGCTCAATGAAATCTCGTTTAGCGTATACTATAAAGCGTTCGTTATTCATCGCGAGTCATTGGCCGAGAACGGTCCCCGGGACCAACGTTGATAAAGCGTCGTTGAAAATCAGCCGGAGGTTCCATTGTTTATTCTAGCCGTTCCTCTTACACATACACTCCGATCCTACGGTCTTGTTAAAAGAACCATTACGCTGTAAATGTATCAATTAAAATTTTCACCCCCGCGTATCGTGATTTTATTCGTGGGCGAAGTTACGAGATTTCGACTTTGAACGTCCTTCGGCTCGTTTCGTCTAGAGATCAAGACCAGGGAATAAAAGTGAGGGACGATTTAACGATGCAAAAGAAAACGAAGAAAATCAGGGTGAAGTTGTCGGTAGCCTTTATTCCCCGTCGTGGCGTAGGCGACGAAAGAAAAATCGTATTACGTAAAGACGGATTTTCCAAGGGCAATAAACGTGACTATGTGTGCGAGGGTGTTAGGTACCTTGACAGTTCCTTTCTGGCTACGTCGCCAGACA